AAAACAATTAAGAAAAACGTGTAGCGTATCCCAACTCATCTTCTGTAAGCATGCGCATTAGCAAGTAGCGAATGGGCACTAGTTGGAGTTCATACAAGGCGGATCGTTATAAATGGTATTTTCATGGGCTCGTTATAAGTCTCAGTAAATATGGTTAAACGTCACACAAAATAGTTGTGTATCCTACGGCGTTACTACGGTAATGCGACTGGTTTCAAAAGAATACTCTCTATTCATTTTAGTTTGATTTTGAGACACCGTCCGTCATCTCGTTACAGAGACATTACCCGTAATTCCTCCATCGCAAATAGTGGACGAAATAAGCGCTTGCCTGAAGTACTCTAGTTTGTGGAGACACCTAAAGAGGTTCACATTATCCTCAAATGTGCCTGTCCAACTGCAAAGTGATCGAGCAGTTGAGATATTCTCACTTCACATTGGAATGGAATGATGCCATTTGATCTGACGACAGGAAGAATTTCACTGCCTCATATCTTCTGCAGTTTTGGGATTCAACAGGAGAGCTGGTTGAAAAGGTATTTCTCAATGTTCAAACCAATGGTAAAAACACAATTTGTTGTGTCAGCTTGCTATTCTTGTGGCTAAGAGCAAAGACTTTGACGAACTTACAAATATCATCCTATCTAACATTTAAAGCGAGGCAGTCGCACACACTTCAGTTCACATTGTTGTGGAAGCGGACGAAACGCTCAGTTATCCAACTGAACGTTTGATTTCACTTTATCATCAAGGGATGACATCGCATGTACACCAATTGAAATTCGGCGCGCCAATAATCATGTTGTAACATAGCAACCAGCCAAAGCTTTGCAACGGCACGCGACATGTGACAAAAAGATTAAACAGAAACGACATAGAAACAAAAAGCCTAGCAGGCACTTTCATAGGGAAGATGTCCTCATCCCTTGCATTCCTATGCTTCCAAAGTATATGCCATTTAAATTTAAAAGATCGCAATTCGCAATTCGATTGGCGTTTGCAAGCACCATCAAAAAAGCTCACGGCAAAACGTTGAATTTTGCGGTTTAATCTATACACGGATTGTTTCTTAGATGCACAATTATATGTTGCCTGTTCTGGAGTCGGTTGACTGGACAATCTCTATAGCTGTGCAGACAATGGAACAACAAAATACGTTTTATACTCAAATGAGTCATTAAGTTAAATATTTGGAAAAATATTGTTCTCTTTTCCTTTGTATTCATTTATCCACATTGCGCCGCAGTGATGCGTGGCCGAATAGACTTTGTCTTTAGATAAAATTATGCGCTTATTGGCGGTCACAACGCGATTCGCTTTATAAGTGTAGCTGCCGTTTTCTTGGAGCACTATCTACTAGTGGACCATAAGTGCAGGTTTAGACCATTTTTCATAACTAAGCTTTTTTGTGTACTGTTGAATTGTCAGAAATAGTATATTTACGGCTTCAGAACGTTTTGCAAACGACCGAGTGAACAAGTCCGGGATTTGTGTAGCACTTATAGTGAACTGGGATAAGGTCCCAAAGGCTGCCTGCTGATGCGGTTGTGATTATCATGGTGAGCTGCCGCGTGAACAAAATGGATGGACAAAATTTCGAGTGTGTGGCCGGTTGTCTTAGCCCTGCCAATCTGAGGAACGCCGGCGGATGGATCCAGCGCGGAGAATGCACATCAAATCATCCCCGTATGTGCGCTTGTAACGCGGATCACCTGTGACCGTTCCGTGCACTATTGAAGTGACGCTTTGACCTGTAATACGGTTGAACTTCTGCCTATATCCCATTCGTCGCCACTATCTTTCCAGTTCGCTATATGTGGATATACCAATGTTCCAGAGGTTCACTCGGTCTGCCGAAAGTTTTGTGTCAAAAGCAAAATAGGTCCCACAGACTATACCAACCGGTTGTATTCAAACCTTTCAGAAATCTTGAGTTCTTGATCGGTTGCAAGCATTTTTCAAGATGCTGAGTATACCTTACGTTCCATGCGTTCCCAAAGTATGGTGACAGTTGGGCGTACAACTTCACGTTTAACCATGTGGCTCCATGTAATCCTATTGTACATTCATTGTGTGTAATTCAGTCTATGTCAAACAACGGCGGAGATTTCCTTGGCGAAAGCAAGATCATAAGAAAAATAGATTAGTAAAGATACGCGAAATGTATCCCTGCAGGAATTAGTGCACCTGAACATAATCCGCTACCATAAAGTAAGGAGATAAACTGCGCAGCAAATTAATGTGATACCCTAACGTTTAAATCTGCAATGACATTGAAAATATGCTTGAATACCCTAAACGCTCTTGAGATTTATAACCATCTTTCTGCTCAGATGGTTGCAAGGATTGTACGACTGTTGCTTAATTGAAAACAATGCTAGAACCCAATAGCCATCAATGACCCATCTATTTGACAAAACCGTCATTGAACCTGGAGTCAAAAGTTTATCTCTTTAAAACACTGTGGTCCATATTTCTGTAAAACCTGATAAGCAGCTTAATCAACATTATTTCTCTAGTTTTGTATGGCTTCCTGCAATTATGTAACGAAGTGCTTTTTCCGATTACCAGTTGTAGTTGGTTTAACTAAGATACCATAGAAATAACCGGTGCATTATTAACCTAAATATCGTTATTGTCATCCCTGACTAACTGTTTTATGTTAGAAAGCAAGCACCGTAGTTCTTTTTATTTTTTCGGAACTCAAAGATAACTCTAATTATCTATTTGTTGCGTTAGTGCTTAGGAATTTGCAGTTTTTAAGGGTCACGATTTTTACACCACGAGACGTCTACAGTTCGTACTACTGAACCAGACCAAAAGTGGATTAAGATGCCAGAGTAAAGTGTTGTCAATTTGACAGCAAAATGCATGCCCTCAAAATAATGGTGTTGGCTGACCTGTGGAATAACTATGTCTCTGCATTTGCTATACTTGAATTTACGCCACAAAATTCTCTTCTTCAGTAGGGTGTCTAAAATCCTCAGACTCGAAAAAATTGTACAGCACTGCTGATCTTTCGGATACACCGTCTTCGGTTTCATGCTCGTTGTTAGTTTGCTATTTTTGTGCACAGCACGACAACTCTCACAAGCTTAACTGCTTCGGGTTTGCCACGACTGACAATTCCGTGAACTATTTACCCCTTGCAGTCAATCAAACGGTAAATGCATGACACACGGATTGACAAAGTGAACTGCTGGGCGTTAGCATCATAATTAACTGTTTAACTGTAAGCCAGTTTTAAAACATGCACAAAACATCAGCGTTGTGATGCCTCCTAGATTTAATGGTTAACTGGTGAGTCATCCTTAGACCAGCCGAGTTCCTGTAATAAAACTTCAGCTCGTGACGGGAACGCAAAAAGTGATACGTTTTATCGAGCACATATATTACTTTTCAGGGTCTTTATAAAGTAAATTTCTACTTAACGGTTAGCTTAACTTTTATGGCGATTCGAGAGAGCACTTAGTCTACTACTTTTTCCTTGTTACTCTTAGTGTTGAATCCTTTTCACTCGTTTTATCTTATATTAAAATAATTATAAAATCTACCACAACCAGCTGCATTTTGTTGCATAAATTGAGCTTTCAAAATGGATGCGAAATATTTTACCGCAAAGAAAAAACACCATATGAGCAAAATCACCAATTGGCATAACCGTTGCGCCAAAGGCGTGTGAAGCACAGTGACAGATTGCGCTCGCAAAATGCTAGCAAAATGACACATTGGAAAATCAGTGAAGTTTGAGAATAAAATGACCGCAGGGAAACCGATTTAAAATTAGCTGAGACCAATCACTCACATGTATGACCCGCCTAAAACAAGTGCTCTGAGCTACTTGAAAAAGCGGTACCACTAGAAATACTAAGCCAGATATAGAAAATACTGCTTTCCGTTTGTGCTCGGCGGTCACCTTGGGAACAAAGCGCAGAGGCGTTGCAAACGGTCTTCATTTTAGCGATCTCAGAATTGTTCTATGAGTTACATTTGGGTCACTTCGTTAATCATATTGACAAACGCTGATATGACGTTTCTAACACTGAAAACCACACCTTAATGTATAGTTTGCGGCTGTCGCCAAGAAAATTGGTGTGCCTACTAAAGCCATGACAAGAATATCATGTGATTCTTATTATAACGGGTCACAGACCGATTCGAAAACCGCTACCAAAGTGATTTAAATTTCTGATTTGTTGAAGAAAGAGGATACACTAAACACTTGTGGCAGTGGGTGTACGAAAGGCTCATAGCTGGAATTAGGCATGGAAAGTATAAAATGCGCAAACTGTCTAAATTCGTCTAGAATGGATATCTACTCCTCAAATACTACTTTAAGCTTGAGGCTCCTATACACTCTGTTCCACACTTAGAACCGATACTCTAGATAGTGATACACACATTTATTGGTATTCTTCAAACACACAGTATATATTTGGATATAGATAAGTTTGATTTACTAGTAAATGCATAGCAGCTGACAGTGCTAGTCCGCGCCTATCGTTTGAGTTTTAAGGCGTTCGTAACATTTGGCAAACGTAAATCATGTGCTAGTAATTTAACCCATTTGTATGTTGGTTACGTCCGTCTGTTGTAGTTCTCTCAGTTACACAGAAAGGTTGGAACACCTGACAGTCAAACTAACGCAGGTAAGCAACGTAACATTTATAATTTTTCAGTTACCTAAGTGCATGTAAGCACCTATATTACTGCTTCCACATAGGAATTATCCACCCATTTTCTTGCAACTCCGTAGCTGGTAACTAGTTATCTACTACTGCACACTAAAAGTGCCGTATCAAATGATGGTAAAACCATTGCAGCTGCAAAGTTTTTCATTTATCTTTCGGCGGTGTCCTACCATACACTGCACTCGCAAGCAGGTGCCAGATACTTTCGTGATCCATCTTTGGCAAAGCTACTGATACCATCACATTATCAAAGTGTCAATTTTATTTATACGATGAGATTATATTACGTCTACTTTTTGGTATCCTTACCTTCCTTGTATTAGAGCTGAAACAAAGGTTTCCAGCATTGTTTTCGTTGGACCAGCAGTTGCCACGTCTGACAAGCCACTTTCCTGATGTTGAGAGTAATCCACGCTAGATGGCTGTATAGGTGCGTTTACTAGAACGTCTGGTTCGGGTTTGTAGACGGGCATGTCACCACCCCTACCGTACTCTGAAGCTGAACTGTCGCTGTCCTCCTTTAGAGTTTCCTCACCAGAACGCTGCCAACCCGTATTTCGGTCTTCGTCTAGCTCCAGTGCGGGGTCCAACTTATTGAAAGTTGAGACGGTCTCTGTAAGTTTCGTATGTTTTTGGCCTTTAGAGGATAAAGCAGCTTCGTCTAAGCTTACTGCACGACTCAGAGCTGCAGGTGAGGGTGGAGGAGGTCTTGGTGGGCGGGAAGATGATTCCGTGCTCTGACGTCGCAAAGTAGAAGTTGACGATTCTTGATCCGTTGAGGATGAGGAAATGCTTGTTGGGCTGCCTAACTTAGGAGATGGATGACCGCAATTTTCTCCATGTTCGGTACGGGCTGGTTCACCACTTTTGACCATGGATGAACCTCCATGAACAACATGATCAAATTTGATCAAGGAAGCTTGCCTCAGATTACCTAACCGTTTGCCCAAGTCCAGCCGCTGGTTCAAGTCAGATACTAACTGGCCGGTTTTCGTATTCACAGAATCCAACAATTTTCCAGGTGCAGCAAAAATGTTAACGCCGGAAACTTCCGTTTGCTGGGCAGGACCACTGGTGGTGGGATCAGGGTCCTGTTTTTCTAAGTCAATGGACATTTTTCGGAAAATATTACCGAAACTCATCTTTTACCCAGGACGCGGTTTCGTGAGTAGTTAAATTCAGCGTAAAGAGCCAGTGCAGATTTAATTGCTATATTTCTCTGTCCGTCAATGAATTTTATCGGAATGCCTTACATGGGGCATGCTGCCATATGTAGCTCACTCAGCTATTGAGGAAGCAGGTCTGCCCTTGGGATCTGCTAACCAATCAGCGGCTTAGTTGCATTAAACAAGGTTGGAGTCGGTCTTGTTTCGAGGGAAGAAAACGCTCACTTATCGATCGTAACCATTGCCGGAAGAGAGCAAAGACACCATGATGAGCTTAGATGAACGTAAATAATCAGACCACTGGGAAGCTTTGTGACAAATTTCGACAAATCAAACGCTAGAGAAATAAAGGTGCACAGAAGTAAGTGTGCATAAAAAGGAACTCAAGCGCCGGTTCGTTCGGCAGAAAAGGTAACTGTTTGACAAAATGAATAATACCACTACCAAACCTTAATGCTGTATTTAATCCTAAAGCTTGAGACCGAATAGGACCGCAAATTAAACAAGTGAATCTGAAAACATTAGCGAACATTCTAGTCAAAAGCATTATATTTTGACTGGCTAAATAAAAAATAAATCAAATGGACACAAATACTGGTTAACTAATACATTGCTGTCCCTGGTCATCTTTCTGGGTAGAAATGGGAATTTCAATGGAACGTAAATATCCCCAAAAGGCACAAATGAAATCAAATCGACAATATTATTCTTTTAGTTATACATTTCGATATAATAACCAAATAATTTTTACAATATAGGCAAATGCACACTGAATTTTGAGAGCGTTGGACGGGATTTCAGAATAAAGATATTTACGTTGACAAGTCTAATGCTCGCTTATTTTCGACAGAACAACTTTTAGCATGATACAAATAAATGACTTACGATAAACAAAAAATATGTGGATAATTCAGCATGAAATATATTTGGAATGTTGTGGATAAAAATATGATACACTGGGTTTTACTAAGACCATATGGAGATGCAACAATATTGGTCAATTTCAAGCAAAGCACAGCATGTTTTTAGCCTGATATTATGGTTTAGCAATAATGACGATAATTACTGTTATGTGCTCTTAAACCCCCTCCATACATAAAAAGCATCTTTATGCTTAGAGACACAATTGCCTAATACCATGTGACTAAAAATGCTTTTCTTGCTACCTTAGTTCGTTGTCTGAAACGAATAAAGGAAAGAAGAAATCTCATGGAACGAAGCCAGGAGAGAATGGATGAGAAACTTTTTGAACGCCACATTCACGGATAACATACTTTGGTGTTTTGGCGATGCGAGTTGGTGTTTCATCATGAAGAATATAAGCACTGTTTTTCATAAATCTAATCCGTTGGTGGTCTGATTAACTCAGTCTACTAGGCACCCTTGATGTCGATCTTTTCCGACTTATTGTCAGTTGTACACACAACTTCAGCGTTACAAGCAAGTACGCAAGCAATTTCACCTTCTTTACGCTACAATTTGCATTTCTTAACAGAACAAGCTAGAATTGCCCTTGCCTATACTTTTCTTGAATCAAAATTAAATTAATGCATTCATAGGTGTGTCCCAGGCACTAAGTGTTGCTTAACTTGTTCAAACGATTCGTGAATTTTTCGAAATTTACTCCGGTACATCGAGAAGTATTTACTTTGCATCAACCTTAACACAGGCAAAAATCGAGCACGCATAGTTAACAAATCCAAACTTGCATTAGTAAATACTTTAACCTTGATAAACCGCGAGTAGTCATGTCCGGTTGCCGTTCCCGTTGTTGTGTTGTCCGATCTTGTCTCGGCAATGTTTACAATGAACTGGAATTCTTGCGATAGGGATTTCAAAACGATTGGTTACATCCGCATAATCTCTAATTGTATGACTTGGTAAAATCCAAGCTTATATATAGCATTACTCTTACCATTCCTTTTACTGCTAAGCTCTATTTTCTTTTCTTCACTGGGGTCATTGACTGTTTTCCTACTTCATACACAGCTGTATTTCCTCATCTAACAGCCAGTTCTGTTAAGACCGCGGGCTTATCTCTTCCGGCTAACGGTTGCTTGTTCAGCTGCACTGACCGATGGCATAAATTTGTTTTCCGTTCTCTTGGAAAGGTCGTCTAAGTAATTGGCCTTTACGAAATGTGGTTTAATGACTACTTTATTGTTATCAGACAAAAGTAGTGGTCCGAATAATGATAGACAAAACTAAAGTTGGGTAGTTGCAAAGAAATTTCATTTCGTAAAGCCTCACAAAGCAGTAACAACAATAAAATTTATAAGCATTGGAATAGTAGCGAGTTGATGTCTGTGCCTTGATTGGAGGGAAGGTGGCAATATAATGCAACTTTGAACCCACTGCCATTGCTGATCAAGCCATGCACAATTAGGGTTAAACATTACACAGGTCCACAATGTTTACGCAGTTTCGGCTGTAGCCACTTGATCTTAGCTAGTTCCGTCATGGTTAGTAGACTTAAACAGTGTTTACGTGCGACCTATGCTCTTGGATCGCAATTATCTTTTTTATCTGTTGTCTACAGATTATAAGGTGTACCACGACAACACTGTGGGCGTTCGTAGTCTTGTCACATGGTAATACAGCAGATAGGTTTCTGCTACACGATTTGTCCGCTATCTGGTCGTTTATCCGAGATAAATTGCCTCACAGTTGTTTATGAAATAGCACAGTTCGAGTGATTCGGAAAGGGTAGAATTAGTCTATTTTATGCGGTGGATGATACTCGGAAGGGTTTCGATGCTCATGCTGACTATGCTGACTATAGTTATCGAGTACGATTGGCTCAGAACGGAAGATGTGTTTCAACTTAACAGCAATAATAGGTAGGAAAAGGTCTTCTTTCTTTACACACATTTTTTTTGTAGGCTGCGTCCCGAGCCATAGTTGTGAACCATTTCGGTAGAATATTACATTTCTTATACTATTCGATTAGATTGCCCGAGAAACTACAACTAAAAAATGAAAAATGATTCTTACTTTATGCTTACAATCGTATTCTTTGTTTTTGATCGTGTGCGTTTGAGAAAAAGGCTCATCTGTATTGTGTCATATAAACGTAACGCTGAAACCGGATAAAAGTTAATTTTTGTAGCTAGTAACCTACGGGTCATGCCATAGACATACCTTCCGTTAAACAATGAGTCCCGGTAGCATCATCCCCTTGTCGTTCTAAAGCATTATAATAAGGCTATTTCAGAAAAGTTCATCCGCGATTTATATTTTATAATCGCAATATTCAGCTTTGAATGGAGTATCCTAAAATACGACGAGACGCCACTGTAAATTACTTGATCTGCAATTGATACTTGCCCTTAAGTGGCTTCAAAGAGCAGATTTCAAGTAAGTACGGTTTCCAAAGTTGACCTTGAAAAAGCCGTCGTTATTCCATAAATATTGGGCATGCTACACTTTTAAATCAATAATCGTCAGCCACGAAGCTACTTATTTAACTAAAGCGAACGGGGTAAAAGAAAACGTATCGAAAAACAACCGTGCGTCTGTCTCAAAAAGCTTAAGATGGTGGTTATATTACTGAATCGGTCTCTGAAAATCTACGACAAGTGGGCACGGTTATTCCAAGTCTTTACTGCCTTACCAAAACCGACCAGCCCACCTGTCCTCTTCGCCCGGTTTTTGACATGAGTAACTCCTTATACCATTCAATTGCTCGTTGGTTGGTGAAGCTTCTAAAGCCTCTGCATAGACGAGTCGTAGTATATTCCCTAAAGGACACTTTCGCGTTTGTAGATGCAGTGCGTGTTGTTAACGGCACGAACCAAACTATGCGCCCTCTCGACGTCACCTCAATGTTTATTAATGTGTCTCTATTTGAGACAATTGAGTTTTTTGCAACTTTTTAACTAGAACCATCTTAATATTGACATGCCAACTCTGACCCTGAAGCAATTACTGCTAGGGCGTATATTTAATATTCAGTTCCTATTCAACAGGGATATATACCGGCAGCGCCATGGAGTTGTAATTGGTTCCCCTCTAGGACCATTCCTCGCTGATATTTTCATGAGCATGTTGGAACAGGGTAACTCGAAAGCGGTCATCAGCAGCCTTACGTTATACCGCCGTTACGTAGATGACATATTTACCCTACTTGATGCCTCTGGTAATATGGAGGAGCTCACCAGCGTAGTTAACCAGGCTCATAAGGCTATCCAGTTCACCTACGAGGTAGAAGAAAACGGTGCTTTACCTCTCCTCGATGTAGGTCTAAAAAGACTTGATGGTGCTGCAGTACAACATCGTGCTTACCGAAAGTGTACAAACTTTCATAGCTTTGGGCTGCTTCGGATTAACAGCAACTCGGTCCTCGGTCTCCTGAATCGGACCGAAAGAATCTACTCGAAGGATACATTTTTCGAAGAGCGGCAGCGCATGCGATTAACGCTTAACGAGAATGACTACCCAGAGAATTTTATTAATGACAATATGCGACGAAACTGGGAGGCACCAACGGTCCTGACGGCGAAACGGAAACATATTTTCCTACAACTGTCATTACAAATGGTAAAGCTAATACCCTGAAGAGGGACTCAGTTGCAAGTTCAAAATACATCCCTATTGGCAAGTGCCCTGATTGAGATGTCATCTTATTAGTAACGAGAGTTCCGGGTTGCGGAGGCGGCTAAACCGTCCGGCGTACAATGTAGAGTCAAGCAACTTGCTAATACCGGCTACTTAAGGAATAAATTTATCATTAAGATAAGCTTCTAGCCTAATGAACTACCAACACTTAATCAAGCGTTACTGTGTAGTATAAAGCCTACTCCCCAGCAGCTTAGCGGAAAGAACGGCCACTTTCTCGCAAAGATCTAAACCTTTAGATAAATAAAAACGGAAATAAGTTTTCCTGGCGAAATGTGCCAAAGCGTTTGCATTTAGGAAAACCAGAATCTGTATTATGAAACAATTCATCAGCTATGTACCCGGACATTTGTGTCTGAAATGGTGGAAGGTGGTTCTCTGTTTCTCCAAACGGCATGGCCAAATCAAACTGAAGAAATGCATTCGCAGGAAATCAGCAACCGCTTACCATTTCCGTTGGAGCATG